CATAAAATATAGCAACCTAGCTTTTCATATTTGTAGCTGGAGGATAACTTCAGACAAAACCCCACCAGGCGAGCATCCAGTTAACCGAAGCCCAAACCTAGGCAGTGACTGCATTTCAGAGACTTGGCTTTGTGGCTCATTTCCACAGTTTACCAAACTAGTTGAGTTGTTCCTACCATAGGTCAAATTGGTTTGTTACTATTGCTTGATAATATGAAAATTATTTCTTTCTGGATAAAGTGGGGGGGGGGGATAAAAATGAGTAAAACCAGATACACTTTAAAAATTCTATACTTGTATAATTATACAAGTATTATTATAATTGTTATATATGTCCTAAGTATATTTATAATAAAATGATTATATTCATAAAACAAGTGTTTCTACACTTATATTGGTAACAGCTGAAGGTGACTAAACAGTCTATTTCTTGCCTGCTATCACTTCCCTGTAGTTGACTAGAAAGGCTGTATCTTTCAATGTTTTTTCCTAATTGGATACCTTTGTTTCCTGACACAGTTGTAGTCTAGTTGATAACCACACCCTCTTGGATTATTTGCTGCATTCTGTTTCAGTTATCTTCATAAACTCATGACATCATCATGTTATTTACTTCCATAAGAATTGGCAATACATTCCGGTTGTCTGGGACTTGAATTCTAAATGGAGGCTCAGTGTTTTAGGCACAATGGGTGCTTTGCAGTGTAGAAAAATGTAATAGGATGAAGTCTGGGAAATTTTCAATAGTCAGGGTTCTTCATTATACCTCATGAAGCAATAATGTTGCTAGAAGAGAACTTCCAGTATCCTACTTTCAGATTGGTGAATATTGAGTAAAAGTTGGCAAGATATCACAAATTGACATCTACTCCCTTTCTCAGTGGATAGTCTATGCAAGTCACCGCTGGAAATGATGCCTTATAGTTCAAGATCCCCAACACAGGTGGTCATTTAGAGGTAACTAGTGAGGCTGACACTTCTGTTTTCCCCCTCATAATATTCTAGACAACCTAGACTGCTTTTCAAGATATAAATCATGTGTTAGATCTTAGGTTTTGAGAACTTTTGTGACTAAGCATAAATGTTATTCTGGTAATAGTCTGCCAGGGTCACACAAAACATGTTTGCATCTGTGTGGAGTTCTGCCTTAAACCATCATTTTGCACGTTATTGATTTTATCTCTATGGAATTACCTAGTGTGTTTACTTCCTATCATGGATTATATAACAAATAATGACCTATTTTAACCTTGTGTGTGCATCAGAATCACCACCTTACAAGAAATCCTGCTGTCTGGGCTTGAAGCCTAGAGTCCACTGGAGAATCTTTAGAGTATCATAGATAATTGTGCATTGCACACAGGGCTGAGTGACCCTGAAATAAAACATGAATACAAAGAATCAAAATGAGCCACAGGTTTTTAGAATTCTGAAACTAGTATAAGTTTCATCGTTTGCCATTCAAATTCCCTTTATGTCTCCTTATTTACTCTTCTTAAAGACATCCAAGGTTTATGAAAATCTTAGGACTTTAAACTTAATGTTAAACTTTGGTTCTTATTTTCTTAAAATGAAGTCAAAATTCCTTAGTCTGGCATTTGAGATTTTCCTATAATCTGGTCTAATCCACTGTTTTAACTTTATTGTCCACTATTCCCCTAGCTAAAATTTAACTTTCTTGTACACAATTGACACCTTCCTACCTTGTAATTTTCCTCACTTTCCCTTGTGCTAAGAATGCTTTCTAACCATCACAGACTGTATAAGTTTAATTCCTTCACAGCCCTACTAAAATGTTCCAGCTGTACCAGACTATCTCTCTTAAATAACTTTTGCCTCTTCCAAATTCCTCCATTGCATGAACTCTGCCTCTCTGTTATGACACTCCAAGTTCTTTATGGCCATAAGTGTATGTAATTTATTACCTATCTCTGTTCCTCATATCACCCCGCACAGTGCTTTTGCACATAGTACTTTATCTTATGGCATTTTCTCATGCTGACATTAAAAGGTGAAATCTGGTAAAATGTATTTTGAATAACCCAAATGTCTATGACCTGATGAACAAAATGCAGTATATTATTTGGCCATAAAAAGCAATGAAATATTGATACATGCTGTAACATGGATAAACCTTGAACATATGTGAAGAGAAAGAAGCCAGAAAAATAAAATAGGTCATTATTTGTTATATAATCCATGACAGGAAGTAAACACACTAGGTAAATCCATAGAGATAAAATCAATTAGTAGTTGCCAAGGCATAGTAGGAGGGGAAAATGTGGAATGACTGCTAATGGGTATTTTTCTTTTTTTTGGTGGGGAGGTGATGAAAATCTAATTGTTTTAAAATTAGTAGTGATGGTTGTATAACCTTGTGAATATGTAAAAACCTACTGAATTGTACCATTAAAAGGATGAATTTTATGGTGAGTTATATCTCAAACCCCTTATTTTTACATTTTTAAAACTGTATTTTGAGTTCATACAATGAAAATCATCTTATAAAAACCATGAAAGCATAGAAAGGAGGTGATAATTTACCTGTGTTATATTGTTTAGTCATAGATTACAGTGCTTATACTAGAAATGAAGTCTATGTTTGAACTCCCATCCGTCTAAATCCCATGTTCTTAACGTTACACTCTGCTGGGAGGTTATATCTGCTATATATGTAAAGAGGGAAATTTATGACTTTCCACTGAAATGGTTATTTCTTTTTTTAGAGGTTGGAAAAAATTCAGAAAGTCCAGTTAAATCACACTAAGGTGAAGAGTAAGCAAAATGAACCCAGCAAACATTCAGGATTTTCTACCTCAGACAACAGCACAGCCAACACTCCCCAGGATTACAGTGGGAATATGAAATCATTTCCATCCAGGAGCCCTTCACAAGGCGATGAAGATTCTGCCCTGATCCTAACCCAAGACAACTTGAAAAGCTCAGATCCAGATCTGTCAGCCAACAGTGATCAGGAATCTGGAGTCGAGGACTTGAGCTGTCGGTCTCCAAGTGGTGGTGAGCATGCACCGAGTGAAGACAGCGGCAAGGACCGGGATTCTGATGAAGCTGTGTTTCTCACTGCCTGAATTTTCCCTTTGAACTTCTAAAATAAAGGACATATACAGCACACTTCCAAAAGCAAGGGAACAGTGCAATTCAAGATAAAAATAACTCAAGAAATGTTGTCATTGAGATATATAAAATACAGCTGTTAAAAAGGAAAACTCTGTTTAGATGTTAAAGAACAGAAAGTAGCCATTTCTTTTATCAAATATAAAGAAAATTATTAACCTATTTCAAAAAATCATTCTAGACCATAAAACGTGTATTCACTACAAATACTTCTATCATCACCTGAGGTTATCAGTATAAACCTTCCTTGTCATAGCATGCATCTCCTCAAAGCCCCCAACCCCTTTCTCTCTCACTTGTTGCCGTCTTGAATCTTTCCTCTTATTTCACTTCCATGTGCATATTTTGTGTTTTCCAAAACATTTGACATTATCTTTCTGACTCTGTTAGCATCACTATTTCTAAAAACAGGGCACATTGTTGGGATGTGTTCTTCTTGGTTAACAGAGCTTTAAGGAACTCTATAGTTGCTTAAGCTTATCTTTCAGGTTTAACAATCACTAACTTTTCCTTAGATATATTTTGAATTGTTTTAATTTTGTTGCCTTTCTCTGGAATCTATTCTGTTTCTCATCATTTAAAAAATGCTAAAACTATACCTTATGTTTTCTTGAACATGGGTGTAATATCTAATAAAGCAGAAGCAAGATTCATTCTCTGGGTGTTACACATGAATTTAAATATTAGCTTAATAACAACTTTTTATTACTGTTTCAGAAGCCAAACTATCAAGACAGTGTGGGCCAACTACAGCCTGACCCTAAGGTACAACATTGTGAAGTTAGTTGGGTAAAACAGCAGAGAACTAGAGAATTTGGTTGTCATGTCTATTGGTGAGGGAAGTGAGTTTTTACTATCTGCTATTATAGGCATTATTTAACTGCTTAATATGGCTCACTTAATATCAACAACATCTGATGAACACTGACTGCTTAAAGATAATTTTGAAGAGTTTTTGTTCAAATGTTCATTTGAGGTGGAATCATTACTAATGAGAAAATATGGGACTGTATTAGATGACCTTAATCTGAAGAAACTAGGGGGAAAACTGCCATGCTCAGGCAAAGATACATAAGTCACATGGTATGTTTTTTAAACATTAATACATCCTTGAATATGAAGGGGTTAATTTATACTTACCTTTTATAATATTTTAAATATGTCAATTTTTTATAGGAGAGTGCATTCATTTTTGCTGAAATGAGAACAAGGTAAAGAGAATGGCAGAAAGTGACAATGCTGAAATTTCTAGTATGATCAATTTGGAGGGAGTATATAACAATATAAATAAATAATATAGTGTAACTATTGTACATGTTTAAAAACAGAATAACTTCAATATATTAGACTTGTAATATAAAATTGCTAATGTAAAAAATAAATGCAGTTCTTTTAGAATACAAAATTTGAGTGTTCTCTGCTGAGCAGTTTCCAAATTAAGTATGAGGACTGTTGATTTCTGCAATATATTATATGTAACAGGGAATATCTTACTAATGATTAATAAACAGATATAGCAGCAATAGCACTTTTATAACACAAGTCAGTTCACACCATTTTTCTACTCATGCCTAATTTTGAGGATACAACTTTAATTTCTCCCATTTGGTGTAGTGTATGTCTACAAATATAATACAATTTTTAAAATCAAACTATCTATGCCAAGTAGGGCTATGCATTTATTTTGAAAAGCATATATTACTTTAAAATTTAATTCTTAATGTGCCATCTTCCACATGAGAGCCATGTAATTTTTTCAGTTCCCTTAACCTTTTTTACAAAATACTGTAATTTAAGTACATGTTAAGTTAGTTTAGTTATTAGAAGTTAGCCTAACACTAACATTTTAATAAGCAATAAATGTATATCATTCCTATAAATTTTATTGTGCTTTCACAGAGCCTTGGAAAGAACATGGCCAATTCAATAAGACAAATTTCTAAAACTACATTTTCACTTATTCATAAGGAAGTATTTAAGTTAGGGCAGTGGCCAAAAACTTATTGCCTTCAGGTAACTTTAAATTGATTTATTCCATATTACTTCCCAACTAGTAATATGTAGAGCTCAAGTATTTTATTAATTATTGATGTGCAAGTATTTTGATCATGAGTTGGAAAACCAATCATTGAATTCCTTATAGAATACATGAATGAGAGGAAATCCTGAAATAAATTTTTGTTAAATAATTCTCTAAAAATGAATCTGAACCACCTTTCATTTAAGCTCATATGAATTATGATTAAATGTTCTTGTCAGACATCTTCTATTCTGATATAAATTACCCAGTCTCAATTTATTCCTAGGAATTTCATTCAACTTTGAAATGGGTATCTATAGTAAATATCATTGACTTTAAAACTCCTATTTTGAAATACTAGTTTTTAATCTATACCCAATGATAAAACCCACCCTTACACAATCTGTTAAAACTCCTAAGATTTCTGCTAGGATTCAGATTTCTATCCATTATTGTTGTACATTAAAGTAAAATTAGAACATTAATTTGATATATATTTCTTTCTTCTTTTGGCACTGCTTTTCCAAAACAGCCAATTTTTATGACAAAAAATATACAGCCATAAAATTACAAAAATCATTGTCTACTGCAATATCAGAACCCAAATTCACACAGGCAGTTTTCATAACCTATCTCCAAATGGTCTATTTATTAAATGCAGTCTATTATCAAACTTCTTTACTTAATGACCAGGTTGTAAGGAGGTTATCAAATAAATTAATTTTGAAGGAAAAACTAAGCTGTTAAGTGGTATAAGATGAAGTGGCAAAGTCTTAAGTTTAAAGAGTAAAAAACATTGAGATGAATTATATGATTATGGACAAGAAATTAACTGAGAAAATTTTTGGGTGGAGTAGGGAAAAGTAGCAGTGGAGGGTAAGATGGATAAGCATCTAGATGGTATTTTAGTTGTCTTTATGTAGCTTCTACAACACCTAATTCTTTAAAAGATATTTGATAAAATCAGGAGATCAAAAAAATTGATGCTATAAAGAAAGGTTGTGGTTTGCTAGTCTCTTGTAATGGGATATGCATGGTATCTAAGAAAGTTACCGAACTCCACAAAACGTTGGGACTGTTTTAAGCTCTGACAGTACAGTAAGGAAAGGTTTCTGATTACCAAAAATTTACCTCAGTTATTGATCAGTCAGGAATAATAATTGTACCTTCTTCATGTGGTCACTGTGAAGACTAAACAGCAGGCCCTTATGCAGAGCAAGAAAGCAAAGCAATTAATAAAAATTGTTTTCTATATCCAGTATTTTATTTATATTCCATGTGAATACTTGCCTCCTAAAAATATAGATTAAGTATTCAGGATTTTTTAATTCTAGGATCTTAATTTCGTTTTTTATAAAACTATTGTCAAATGTGTCAGAGAAAATAAAATGCATACCATTTGCTGGTACTGAAATGAAATTTAAAGAAAAATACTCATAGGGTTATTTTTGTGATTTAAATACTATCTTACATGACTCACATATGATTTTTTCTTATGAGTTTTTAGGGCTATCCATGAAATGTGTTCATTTTGTAACATATTTTGGAAGCAAGCTGCTGAACTCAGAATAGTTAAAGAGAAAAATTTATTAAAAATTAGAATTGCCTAAAAGTTTAACAGTAACTTTACTTATTGCTGTATCTTTTTTCTTAAAGAATATCTAACTCACAGTTAGGGTCAAAAAAAAAAGTCACTGACTTCTTCGTGTCTATATTTGTTATTTATTAATAAAGATTTAAGTTTTTCTAAATTAGGAACTTAAAGCATATCCTTATCCAACCACAAAAACAGTAGGTGCTTATTTTTAAAAAAAGTTTGTGTTGGACTGGTTTAGGTTAAAGGCAGTTTTTTTTCTCATAGGTAAAAAAAAATTTACCCGTATTGCTTCTTAAATCCAACTTTAGTTTTAAAAATAAAGTATATAGGAGAAGCTGGTTTATTTTTTGATTTATTGTAAATATTAAAAGTTACTTTCTTGAAATGGTACACTGACAGGTTTGATGTTTCCTGACACTATGATTATTTAAAGCAAACTGCTTTTGAAAATTTTATCCAGAAAAGAAAAATAGGAACTTTCCACAGTTGAAAATAGTTTTTCAAAAAAGTTGTGAGGAAAAAAGAAATGGGTCAGCTTCAAATTAAAACTACAAACTTAAGTAGTTTTATAAAATATTGAAAACTACCTAGAATTATATGCATAGGCATTTAATCAATAAAAGGGACAGTACTGGAACTTAAATATGATAGGACTTATGTACAATAAATAAATGTTTTAGTGCAAACAGTGCAGAAAATTTTGTCAAAGATCAGAGCAATCATTTTAGTCTGTACAAAATCAGTTTCAGTTCTGTATACAATCAATATGGTATATCTGTGGATTTAGCCACTGTTGATGAAATGTCAATTTGCAAGTCAAAAATATAAAACAATGTGCTTAGTTTTGTGTCCCATTCCTGTCTTGGCAGTTCATGTTTTCAGGAAGATCTGGAAAGAAAAGAATCAAAATCTAAGATTTAATTTTAGATGACAAACTTTAATCTCTGTATATCTCCTCCAATTGAGAGATATCTCTAAAAAGATACATCAGGTACTTGAGGTGAGGTAAGGATTCTAGTATGTTCACATAAATAAGCAATTCAGTGTCCACTTTTTTTTCAAGCTGTACAGATTGCAAATCTATCAAAAATCAGCCCCCTTATGATTTGGAAAACAAGACATAAAACAAGTCAGTGCTGGCACTAATGTTAAGTACAAGGGGCAGATGACTATGAGCTAGAGAGAGAACGCTTGTCACCTTCTGAGCAGCTGATTGGGCAGAGGCCCACATGACACCAATCTCCAGGCCTTACTGATTGAGCAAGAATAGCAAGCTCACCCATACAGTGAAGTTAAGATGCCTGCATCCCAGGGAAGGCCTGAGTTAAGAGTCCTGGATCTGCTCTCAATTCTCGCTTCCTGCTGGTGTGCACCCAGGGACCAACAGACGATAGCTTATGTATTTGGATCCCTGGTATCTGACTCCAGCTTTTGCAGAACCTAGCTCTGTTATTGCAGGCATTTGGAGGAACAAATTAATGATAAGAGCTTTCTATCTCTCAAGTAAACAAAATAATTTTTAAAGGCATTTTATAAAGGTAAAAGGAAGAACACAATATGTAAGACAACATAAGGGAAGATGGAAAATTAAATTTGATGATCTGGAATATGTTAGATTACAGGAATCATAAAAACCAGAGAGACATTTGGAATTGACGCTGTCATTACTGGGAGCTTAGGGACTCATATGTTCTGCAGCACAGAAATTCTATCATGGAAGTATTTTAAAAACATCAATCTGTCAATGCCTGTACAAGGGAAACCCTTTATAAAGGCAGGGTACTGGCAGGAAGTTATTGAAATAATCCTAGTATGGGATGGAAAAGACACAGACTTGAAATTCATTTTACAGGAATAAATGTTGAATCAGATTATTGAGAAATATGCCAATTCTCCTGCTGAGAAAGAACTTGCAAATCTACATAAGGATCTATCAGATGTTGAAAAAACACTTAATGGATTGGTGTTGTAGTACATCAGGTTAATCCCCAACCTGTGACACTGGCATTTGACATGAGAACCGAGTTCTAGTCCCAGTCACTCCACTCCTAATCCAGTTGCCTGCAGGCTGAGAAAGTAGCAGAAGATGGCTTGAACTTGGCCTTTGCCACCCACATAGGCTCCTGGTTCCTGGACCACCGATGGAGCCATTTGGGGAGTGAACCATCAGAGGGAAGATCTTGCTCTCTGTCTTGCCCTTTCTGTCTAACTCTGCCGTCAAATAAACTAATTTAAAAAATTAGTTTAAGTCAATATCAAAATCCAAATATCCAAAAGATTGCTACTGGTTATATGGTTATTTAAATGTAGAATATATAATATAAAGCATTATATATGTTACACAGAACAATAATTATGACTAAATAGCCTTGGGACTCAAACTCGAAATACAATTTACCTATAGAGGAGCATGAAATTGGCTGTGCATTGCTATCACCTGTTGAAGTTTCTCTTCTTTGGCTCTTCTACAGTGGCAAATCTACAAAATAAATTGTTTAAAATATCAGTTACTTCTCCAGATGTGCCTATTACTTCCTATATTATGAGTGAATTTCAAGAATCTTTTAAGATATCTTTTGCCTAAACTTCCAGAATATAAAACATATTCTGATTTTTGATGTCTAACCTCAAATATTTGCATTTTTAAAATAGTGAAGTAATTCCTGCTGTTAATCAAGAAGATTAACAAAAACTTCAAAGCAGAGCTATATAGTATTAAAGAATAATGGGTCAGAAATCAGTGCCTTTAATGCTAAAACCATAGGCAAGTCACTAGCACTCTGAACTTCCATTTTCTCTCATGAAAAATGACAGGGGCTTGTGTTGTGACGAAGCAGGTTAAGCTTCCACCTGCCATGCCAGTATCCCATTTGAGTGCTGGTTCTTATCCTAGTTCTTCCACATCCAATACAGCTCCCTGCTAATGCTCCAGGAAAGCTGTAGAATATGACCCAAGTTCTTGGGTCCATGTTACTGTGTCACCCACATGAGAGACTAGAATGGAGTCAGCCTGGCCTAGCCCCAGCCAATGAAGCCATCTGGGGAGTGAACCAACGGATGGAAGATCATTTTCTCTTTGTCTCTCCCTGTAATTCTGCCTTTTGAATAAATAAATCTGAGGGAGGGGGAAAAAAAATCTGTTCCACCTGCCTTACCAAGATAATACATAAGGTATATTAACAAAAGATTACCTTTAAAATGTTGTCTTCCAGAGCGTTTAGGTAAATATTTAATATTTATTAAGGGGACCTTATTAAATGGCTAAGCAGATTTTTTTCTTTAAATATAATGGGAAAATCAGAACAGAAGCTGTACATAGATGTTAATATTTTAAATATTTTAATCTCTCTAGATTATTATCTCTTTAAACAACCTGTAAAACAGGCTACTCAGGAGTATATTACAACTATTAATACTAGAATTAAGCTGATTACCAGCTTTTCTAGAGAATGATACAGGAGCCGACGCTTGGTATAGTGGGTAAAGCCAGTGCCTGCCATGCCAGCATCCCATATGGGCACTGGGTTGAGTCTCAGCTACTCCACTTCCAATCCAGCTCCCTGTTAATGTGCCTGGAAAGGCAGTAGAAGATGGCCCAAGTACTTGGGCCCCTGCACCCAGGGAGGAGACCTGGAAGAAGCTCCTCACTCTGGCCCTTAAACCCATCTGGGGAGTGAACCAACAGATAGAAGATCTCTTTCTCTCTCTGCCTCTCTGTAACTATACTTTTCAAATAAATAAACCTTTTTAAAAAAATCATACAGAAACTATAGCATCTGAACCAGAACTATTATTTGATTCATCTGTTTGTGTAATCAGAATGAGCAGATTTAAAGTTACAGTAGGATATTGCTGTCAAGCTCAATTGAGGCAGTTCAGATTCCTCTCATAGCTCTAAAAACTGTAGTTCAATAATGTGCTAAAGTTCTTATGAGTAGGCTTAAGCAATTTGGTATTACAGTGTCACTTGTCCTCAACTGAAGAGTATTACATACTGTTCTCTTTTCCATGAAGCTACTGAGAAAATCATCTATTTCAGTTTTTCCCTCCAAGAAATCTTCAGCAATATTATCAGATTCTTCTTCAGCTTCATGTGCAGCTACTTTCAATCTTGCCTGAAGGGCACTTGCACTACAGCTCTAAAAAAGAAAATCAAGCACGACATTAGTTTATGATGCTCCTTAGAGGGAAACAAATGAGGTAGAGCCAAGAAGCAATTCACTGTATGACTGAGATAACCTCTTTTTTGAGGAGATCTTCTACCCACATTCTCAACATTTGGATGTAGGAGCAGGTACCTAACACAAAAGAAACCAATCCACTGGCTGCTGAAAACCTGAGAAAAACGACTGCCCTCTCCTGGGAATTTTGCAATTAGATCATTGTGGTAGGCACCCTCAAGTTAACCACCTTAAGATTCCCAACCTGGCACTGTTGTCCTTGGGGAATCCCCTCCTTTGAGTGTAGGCTGCACCTAGGGACTGCTAATGCACAAAATATGGTCAACGTGACAGAATTAAACTTAAAAAAAGACTTGTAAACACAAAACACTGCTGAGAGAAATTACAGATGTAAATAAGTGGAAAGGCATCTGTGTTGGCCAGCACCATGGCTCAATAGGCTAATCCTCCGCCTAGTGGCGCCGACACAGCGGGTTCTAGTCCCCGTCGGGGCGCCAGATTCTGTCCCGGTTGCTCCTCTTCCAGGCCAGCTCTCTGCTATGGCCCGGGAGTGCAGTGGAGGATGGCCCAAGTGCTTGGGCCCTGCACCCCATAGGAGACCAGGAGAAGCACCTGGCTCCTGCCTTTGGATCAGCACAGTGCGCCGGCCGCTGCGGCCATTGGAGGGTGAACCAACAGCAAAAAGGGAAGACCTTTCTCTCTGTCTCTCTCTCACTGTCCACTCTGTCAAAAAAAAAAAAAAATTAAAAAAGGCATCTGTGTTCACACATTGGATGATTAAATATTATTAAGATGAAAATACTGGGGCCAACTTCAGATCAGCGCGGTGCGCCAGCCGCAGCACACTGGCCGCAGCAGCCATTGGGGGGGTTAACCAACAGCAAAAGGAAGACCTTTCTCTGTCTCTCTGTCTCTCTCTCTCTGTCCACTCTGCCTGTCAAAAATAAATAAATAAATACTGGGGCCAGTGTTGTGGCACAGTCAGTAAAACCGCTGCCTGTGATACTGGCATCCCATATGGGCACTTGTCTGTGTCCCAGTTGCTCCACTTCAGCTGCAACTGCCTACTAATGGCCTAGGAAAAGCAGCAGAGGATGATCCAAGTATTGGAGCCCCTGCCATCCACTTGGGAGATCTAGATGAAGCTCCTGGCTTTGGCCTGGCCCAGTGCTGGCCATTATGGCCATGTGGAGAGTGAACCGGCTGATGAAAAATCTCACTCTCTCTATAACCTTTGACTTTCAAAATAAACAGATGCATCTTTAAAAAAAAAAATAACAATACTAAGTGATCTACAGATTCAATGCAATTCAAAATCTAAATAGCAAAACCCTTCCTAAAATGTATAAGGGGATTTCAAGAGACCTCGAATAGGCAGAATAATTTTTGAAAAAGGACAAAGTTAAATGATTCATATTTGCTGATTTGAACACTTGGTATAAAGACACAATAATCAAAATAGTGTAGTTCTAGCAAAGAACATTTGGACTAGCAGAATAAGGAGCCCAGAAATAAATCCTTACACACACATGTTCAAATGATTTTTCAGTCAAAGTGTTAAGTTCATCCACTGGGGAAAGGAGTCTGTTCAACAAATGACACTAGAAAAACTGGAAATCCACATGGAAAAGAATAAAGTTGGATCCTCACCTTACCTCATTTACAGTAACTTACTCAAAGTAGACAAAAAACTTAATTGTCAGAACTACTTTTAATAATGCTCATTTTGATTACTATGGGGTGATATCTCACTGTGACACATAATCATATAGAAATGCACCATTTTCTTACCATCCTTGTCAAAACTGGTTATCTGTATTTACAAATTTGGTTCATGCCAATGTTTTTTCTTGCTTTTTAAAAAATTATGGAAGTTAGCATATTTTCAAATGCTTCTATTTATTCCTTCAATATTAACTGAGTACCTACTATGTGCCAAACTGAGTACCTACTATATGCCAAGCACTGGACCAAGTGTTGGTTATACAGTGGAGAATAAAACACAGGTTCCTGCACACATTAAAGCAATTACACAAATTTATTTTTGAACTCAGCAGTCTGTTGCACATACCTGTTTCTTTTTTGAAAAAACTACAATCCCATTTTAAATAATGAGGTTTTATAGTATATTTTGATACTGGGAAAGGGAGGTCTTCCTCATTTTTTATTTTTGTTTCCTAACCACTTCTACTTAGTTTTTCCAGGTGCAATTTAGAAAAACTTCATTTTAGATTAAAAAAGGTTTGGGGCCAGTATTGTGGCACAACAGGTAAAGCCACCGTCTGACGCTGGCAACCCATATGGGCACTAGTTTCCGCCTGCTCCACTTCTGATCCAAGTCCCTATTTATGACTTGGGAAAAGTAGTGGAAGATAGCCCAAGGGTGTGGGCCCCTGCCATGTACATGGGAGACCAAGATGAAATTCCTGGCTTCAGCCTGGCCCAACTCTGGCTGTTTTGACCATCTGGGGGAGTAAACTAGCAGACAGAAGATCTCTGTTTAAAATAAACAAACATTTTAAAAAAAGATTCTTGAGATTGCAATAAAAACTATCAAATTTATATTATTTTCAAAAAAGGGGCTGGCACTGTGACATAGTAGGTTAAGCCTCTGCCTGCGGCACGAGTATCCCATATGGGCACGGGCTCCAGTCCCGGCTGCTCCACTTCTGATCCAGCTCCCTGATAACGGCCTGGGAAAGCAGTGGAAGATGGGTGGGTCCCTCCACCTGCCTGGGAGACCTGGAAGCAGCTCCTGGCTCCTGGTTTCGGATTGGACCAGCTCCGGCCTTTGCAGCTATTTGGAGAGTGAACCAGCAGATGGAAGACCTTTCTCTCTGTCTCTCCCTCTCTCTCTCTCTGAAACTCTGCCTCCCAAATAAGTAAACCTTTAAAAAGAATGAAGTCTTTATAATACTGTGTCTTTCATTCCATGAATATTTTATGTGTCTGTAAACAGCCTTAGAAAATAGAAAACTTAGATCTTGGGGCCTAGCATTGTGGCATAGCAGGTTAAGCCTCCACATGTAACACTGGCATCTGATATGGGATGCCCCACTTCCAATCTAGCTCCCTACTAATGTGCCTGGGAAAGCAACAGAAGATGGCCCAATTTTGCAATTATGGTAGGCACCCCCAAGATGAGCCCTTTAAGATTCTCAACCTGGCACTGTTATCCTTGGGGAATCCCCTCCCTTGAGTGTAGGCTGGACCTAGGGACTAAGTTCTAATGCACAAAATATGGCCAAAGTGACAGAATTAAATAGGTAAAGAGACTTGTACACTTAAAAACAAAACACTGCTGAAAGAAATTATAGATGTAAATAAGTAGAAAGGTGTCTGTGTTCAAGCACTGGAATCCTGTATCCATGCAGGAGACTCTGCCAGGCCTAGTTCTGAACACTGTGGCCATTTGGAGAGTGAACCAGCAGATGGAAGATCTGTCTCTCCTCCCCTTCTCTGTAACTCTGCCATTCAAATAAATTTAAAGAAAAAAGAAAACTTGGATCTTTTTATATGTCATTCAGTAGAGTTTCCTAAATTACTTCATCAGGTTAATGTCTTAAGTATTTTACAATTTCATTACTGTTTTTTAACCTATTTCATTTTGTCGTAGTAATTGCTGGAACACAGGAAAATATTTCTCAGTTCTATAGGATCATTATATTATTTTTGGCAAACTTCAATACTTTTTTTAGTTTTTATTTTTCTTGCTTGTGGTCAGAACCTCAATCAGATTTTTTTGTTGGAAAGTCAGAGAGTTAGAGGGAGAAAGAGGGAAGAGAAAATCTTCCATCCGTTGGATCACTCTCCACATGGCCTCAACAGCTGGGCCAGGCTGAAGCCAGGAGTTTCTTCTGGGTCTCCCACGGTGCAGAGGTTGCTTTTCTAGGCACATTAGTAGGGTGTTGGATGGGAAGTGGAGCAGCTGGTCTCAGGCTGGCACCCATATGGGATGCTGGGGTCACAGACAGCAGCTTTACCCACTATAACACAATGCTGGCACCAGTGTATTGCCCTCTTATTCCCAACATTAATGGGATCCTGGAAATGGTTAGTCATTCTGTATATTTGCAGCCAGTATCTAATTAATATTCTTTATCAAATAAAGAATTTCTAATTTTGGTTTACTAAGAGTTTGTATAAGGAATGTTGACTATGGTCAAAAATTTCTTCAACCTGTACTAAGCTCTGTTGCCTACTTAATAGTATTGATTCCATGAGAGAGGACTGTTTAGGTTTGATTCCTAGTATTTTCTATTTATATGACTTAAAAGGGGTTATGTAATCTCCCTGTACTTTACTTTCCTCATCTGTAAAATGGAAAAAAGGTTAACAGGACCTACCTCATAGGGGTTGGAGTAATAACAGCCCAGTTTATATAAATAGCTTGAGTGTAGAACAAGACACATTAATTCTCCAGTGTTAGCTATTATTATTTCCTTTATTCTAAAGGACAATCATTATCTGAACTTCATTATAAATGTTTACTCTATTTCTTTTATGTTTTATTATATTGTACTTTTTTCATCCAAAAAGTATTTATTATTTATTTCAAAAGCAGAGCAATAGAAACAGTGAAACAGATAGATCTACCATCTATTTTTCCTCAAACTGCCACAACAGCCAGGTCTGGATGAGGCTGAACTCAAACCAGAAACTCCATGCAGGTCCCCAAAATGGTTGGTGGTGACTCAATTACTTGGGCCATTCTCTGCTGCCTTCCCAGGCACATAAGCAGGAAGCTGGATCAGAAGTGGAGCAGCTAATCCTCCACCTGCGGCGCTGCCACCCCGGGTTCTAGTCCCGGCTGGGGTGCCGGTTCTGTCCCAGATCTGCCTGGCTGCTCCTCTTCCAGTCCAGCTCTTTGCTGTGGCCCGGGAAGGCAGTGGAGGATGGCCCCAGTGCTTTGGCCCTGCACCCGCATAGGAGACCAGGAGGAAGCACCTGGCTCCTAGCTTTGGATCGGCGCAGTGTGCCGGCCGTAGCAGCCATTGTGGAGGTGAACCAACAGAAGGAAGACCTTTCTCTCTCTGTCTCTGTCTCTTGCTCTCACTGTCTAACTCTGCCTGTCAAAATAAATGAATGAATGAAAGAATGAATGAAGTGAAGCAGCTAGGATTCAAATTGACACTCCAATATGGGATGCTGGCATCACAAACAGCATCTTAACCATCTGCCACAATACCAGCCCCTATTAAATTGGTTTTACATTTCAAAATTCCAGATTTTAAAGGATATGGAATATTGTTTACTATAATGTTGCCTATTGGTATGAGATATAAATATTACATCCTCCATTCTCCTTTTAAAGATTTGTTCTTTTGGCAATGAATTTTATAAAATACTTTGATTTTTCATATAACTCATTTTCCAGCATAAAACCTATTTGGAGTAATTTGTGATTTTCAATTTTTAACTTTTTGGAAACAGATATGCTCTGAGCACAAATAATTTATAATGCCTCATGACTAAGAGCTGTTTATCAAGTTAATTGTTGCAGCACACTGGTTTAAGCTGCTGTCTCAGATGCCAGCATCCTTTATCAGAGGCACCAGTTCAAGTTCCAGATGTTTTGCTTCCAATCTAGCTCTAGCTCCCTGCCTGAGAAGGCAGCAAAAGATGGCCCAAGTGTTTGTGCCCCTGCACCACATGAGAAACCCAGATGGAGTTCTTTGTTCCTGCCCTCAGCCTGGTCCAGCTCCAGCTCCAGCTGTTGTGAGCATTTGGGGAGTGAACCAAAGGATGAAAGACCTCTTTCTTTCTCTCTTCCCCTCTGCCTTTCAAATAAATAAATCTTTAAAAACAAAAATAAAAGAGCCATTCATCTCCATTTACAGTTATGCCTTATACAGTCAGATACCTAATAGTTTTAGTTAGCAATGAAAGAATGTGGCTCATACACATTAAAATAAAACATTGTTATGGGAAAGGAAAAGCACCCAATGATCTTACCTCACTAAGTTCATGCTGTCTTTGCATCTTCTTTTCAAAAGTAGATTTCATTTGTGTAAGCAATTCATACTAAAAGAGAAAATCACATGCTGTTTGTTCTACAATTAATTACATAAATTTCTTCAAGATGATAACTAACTCACCTTCTCTAAAACAGTTTGCCTTTTGGCTTCCAAGCTGGGCTCCAAAAGGAGATTTTTTCCTGCAAGATAAGTCTCTGGTTTATTTCTAGGCAAAGATCTCATTTTTCTCAGGAAATCTGGGGAGAAATAAGGGAAGACATACTTGCTAGTTCCTCAATACTTTTTACTAAGTCATCCTTGTCGTTAATAATTTGTTTTAGTTGAGGCAAAGTCAGAAACTGTTCTAGTAAGATCTCCTCTTGTTCATTCATATCTGTTAGTTGAGACACACTAGAAAGACAAAATTTTAAAAATGTTAGTGAATATCAGCCATCTCAGTTTTCCTCCATGATGGTAAACATTAAGAAGTTTTCCATTTTATTTGGTTGATAGGATTCTAAATATTTAAAGATATCAAAGTTTATATAAACACATAAGAAGGATAAATATTTATCTTTTCTGATCACAATGGATGAAGCTGAAAAAAAAAAAAAAAAAAAAAGAGGAAACAAACACATGGAGACTGAACAACATGTGCCTGAATGAACAGTGGGTCACAGAAGAAATAAAATTCCTTGAAATGAATGAAAATGTAAACACAACATATCAAAACTTATGGGATATGGCTAAAGCCGTGTTAAGAGTAAACTTTATAGCAATTAATTACCTACATTAAAAAATTGGAAAGGATCCAAATTAATGATCTAACAATGCAGCTCTAGGATATAGGGGAAAAAAGGAACCAAACCTCCAATTAAGATTAAGGAAATAATAAAAATTTAGAAGTAAACAAATTCAAATCAAAAACTATACTAAAGATCAGTGAATGAAGAGCTGTTTTTGAAAAAAAAAAAAAAAAAAAAACAAAATTGATCAACTATTGGCCTAACAAAAAGGGGTTGGAGGAGGGAGTGGAATAAACAAAATCAGAGATGCAAAATGAAATGTTCTGACACCACAGAAGCAGAAATAATAATTAGGAATTATTACAAACAGCTATTTACCAACAAATCGGAAAATCTAGAAGAAATGGGTAGATTTCTGAATGGCTATCATCCAAAAATCAAAGAATTACAAAGGCTAGTGAGGAAGTGGGGAAAAGGGTGCCCTAATACACCGTTGGTGGGAATGTAAATTGGTACACCCATATGGAAGACACTATGGGGATTCCCTGGGAATCTGAAAATAGACCATAGTCATTCCACTCCTGGGAATATTCCCAAAGGAAATGAAATCAGTGTACAAAAAAGTTAAATGCATCTCATGTTTATAGCAGATCAATTCAAAAAAGCTAAGATCTGAAATCAACCTAGATGTCTATCAACTGATGAATGGATAAAGAAACTGGTATACAGACAAAACAGAATACTTAGCCATAAAAAATAATAAAATCCTGACATTTGCAACAAAACATATGCAACTGGAGACCATTATACTGACTGAAGTGAGCCAAAATGAAAAAGAAAAGTATCGTATTTTATTTATGGGAGTTAATATATAAAGAAGGATAAAAATTGTGTTGAAGTCAGATCATTTTGTATATAAATATTTCTTCACTAAATCTTACCATGTAAAAGACAAAGTACTCATTTCACATGTTAAAAGAAATGGAGAAGAGGGGAATAGTGAAGACTCTTGGAGTACTAATAGTGCTTTGTTTCTAATTTAGGTGTTAACTACTAGAGTAATTTGATGAAAAAAAAAAAAAAAACCCTCATTGATCTGTATACCTAAGTGCATTTCCTGACATATATATTTCAAAAAATGTTGAAAAAATAAAAATTTAAAAAGGAGAAGACCCAAATCAATAAAATTAGAGAAAAAAAGGAAATATAACAATAGATTCCATAGAAATAAAAAGAATCATCAGAAATTACTACAAAGAGCTGTATGACAACAAACCAGGAAACCTAGAATGTATAGAGATCCATAACCAAGATGCAAATTTAATCAGTAATGAAGACCCTCCCAACAAAGAAAAGCCCAAGACCAAATGGCTTCACTGCTGAATATTACCAGACATTTAAAGGAGAACTCCAATTCTTCTCAAACTATTCAGAACAATTGAAAAAGAGGGAATCCTCCCAAATTCTATGAAGCTAGCATCACCTTAATTCCTAAACCTAAAAAAGAAGCAACAGAGAAAAAGAACTACAGCCCAATTTCCCTGATGAACATATACGCAATAATTCTGAACAAAATACTAGCCAATTGAATCCAACACACATCAGAAAGATCATTCATCCAGATCAAGGGATTTATCCCTGGTTTGCAGGTATGGTTCAACATTCACAAAATCAATGTGATATATCACATTAACAGACTACAGAACAAAAAACATATGATTATGCAGAGAAAGCATTTGATAAAATCCAGAACCCTTTCATGATGAAAATGCCAAGCAAATTGGATATAGAAGGAACATTCCTCAACACAATCAAGGCAATCTATGACAAACCCATGGCCAGTGTTCTACTGAATGGGGAAAAGATGGAAGCATTCCCACTGAGATCCGGTACCAGACAAGGATGTCCACTCTCACAATTGCTATCAATATAGTCCTGGGTTTTTAGCCACAACCATTAGGCAAGGAAAAGAAAACAAAGGGATATAAATTGGGAGGGAGGAAGTCAAACTATCTCTATTTGCAGATAACATAATTCTAAATGTAGGGGATCCAAAAGACTCCAATAAGAGATTATTGGAACTCATAGAAGAGTTTAGTAAAGTTGCAGGATATAAAGTCAATACACAAAATTCAACAGCCTTTGTATACAAAGACAATGCCAATGCTGAGACAGCTTACAAGATCGATCCCACTCACAATAGCTACAAAAAAAAGAAAAAGCCCAAAACCTTGGAATAAATTTAACCAAGGATGTTGATCAAAGATCTCTACAATGAGAATAACAAAATACTCAAGAGAGAAAAAGAAGATACAGAAAAAAATGGAAACATCTTCCACTTTCATGGACTAAAAGAATCAATATCATCAAAATGTCCATTCTTCCAAAAGCAATCTACAGATTCAATGTGAAACCAATTAAAATACCAAAGAAATTCTACTCAGATCCAGAAAAAATGATGCTGGAATTCATATGAAGGCACAGGAGACCCCGATTAGCTAAAGCAATCTCATACAACAAAAACAAACCTGGAAGCATTTGTGTGTGTGTGTGCGTGCGCTTTGAAACCTTTACTTAGTAGAGTTGATCTTCTGTGTACAGTTAATTGAAAATGAATGGAGAATGGGACTGGGAAGGGGAGAGGGAGGAAAAAGAGGGGTAAGAGGAGGGGTGGGATGGAGGGTACTATAGGAAGACTAACTATATTCCTAAAATTGTACTTATGAAATTTGTATTTCTCAAATTAAAAAAAAAAAAAACAGATACATTCAAGTCAATGTGGGAAATTCTAGAGAACAAATAACCAATTTCTTCAATAAATGCATAATATATATTAAATATAACGCTTGAAATATGAGTGTTTTTATGTATGTGCACATGTAACAATGGGGAAAATATTTCATGACCAAAAAAAATTTAAGATAGCAAGTATCCAAATCCAATAGATGTGCCTTGTTTTGAATCTTGATCCCAACCACCAAGAAAAAGATTTGACACTAGAGATATATTAAATAATTCATAATTTAATGTTTATGTATGATGAGGATGTTGATTAGGGCTATAATAAGAAAAAAATGAGAAAAACCAGGAAAGAGGAAGAATGAAAGGAAGAAAGGAAGGGAGGGAGGGAAATACAACACTATGGAGTTGTTATGAACATTAACCCTAAACATGCATGTGGCATACTGTAAACATCTCTTACAATTTAATTATTAGCAAAAAAAAAAAAAAGCATTTCCTAAAACTGACAGTTAAGGATTGGGTCAAATTTAAAAAATCTGAATTGTAAAATCTGTTATGGATATGTGGTTGTACATCTCTGGTGGATATAACCTAAAAATAAAAAGAACTGCAAAAAAATATTTCTTACTTGCATTCAACAGTCTTAATAATAGTAACCTTATTAGTACTATAAATCCCCAAGGGGATAAAAAGAACGCAGGTTTTCCCTAAACTCAATGGCCACAAAATCCTTTTCATGGGGCATCTTAGGGGAGCAGTGTTCAGTGAATAACTCTATCGTGCACTTAAACATTAAAAATTTATCCACCAAAAATTCAAATAAAATGTTGGCTTTATAATACCTGGCTAATACTTTAGGATAGATTTCATCTACTTCTCTATATACAAAGTTTATTGACTAAAGATCTGAAATAGGCCAAGATACATTTTGAAATGATCAAGAATAATATATTTAGAAATCATTTTTTTAAATGTAAGCCATATGAGAGAAATAACACTATTATCTTGATAACTATTATATCATTTCTAGAAGCTACAAAAATCCTTGGGTATATACTAGTCACTCAATAAATACAACCTGTAAGACTTAAAACTGGTTTATAAAATTTTTCCACTTATGATAACCACACTATGAGATTTGTGAATATTTTAAAAATCTTTTTATTTAATGTAGACATCAAATGATCTGGCTTATACTTATAAATAAAACAGACAATGATACCAACTTTACTCTCCAGGCTTTTACCTTAGTTCTGAGAGTTCAGGAAATGCTTCAGGGACTTCTGGCATCTTGTAACCAAAACCATTCTGGCTTATCTGAAGAAGAGTTTTAAATGGCATTAAATTTCAGCCATCTCTTTGGTGCTGTTGTTTGCTTTTAAAAGTCATTTTTAAAATACTATATCCCATGCTGCTTTCATTGCTATATCTTCATGTTTACCACACTTCACATTGTCTATATTTTTTCCTTTTATTATCAACCTATTTTTTTGCAGTGCAACTTTGTACATATAGGGCTGTTTTTCTTGGGGCAGGGGGCAATGAGAGCTGCGTATATACCTATGTTAGCTCTCTTTCTTAGATGACTGTATAAATCTCTTATGTGTATCTGTGACAGGTATGGAAAACTATCTGTGGATTTCAGTGATATATACAAATAGCATATTTCTCCTAAGAGAAAAGCATTGTTTAGAATAACAATAATTTGGCAGTAATCTAAACTGTTACATATCTAAGTTTAATGAGACTTTAGAGTTGATGAGAAACAGAGTCAACTGTTTGAATGTATATGACTTTTTGCACTCAGGCACCCTTGAAAAGTTCTCTTTTAATTGTTTATACTAATTGTAACATGCTCAAAGCCTTTTTTTTTTAACTTTTATTTAATGAATATAAATTTCCAAAGTACGATTTATGGATTACAATGGCTTCCCTCCCATACCGTCCCTCCACCCACAACCCTCCCCTTTCCCACTCCCTCTCCCCTTCCATTCACATTAAGATTCATTTTTGATTATCTTAATATACAGAAGATCAGCTTAGTATACATTAAGTAAGGATTTCAAAGTTTGCTCCCAAAATAATAGATGATTTTTTTTAAATGATGATGAAATCAGATCAGACCTATTGTCATGTTTAATCCCAGTGAGAGTCAAGTTGGGAATTGATAATTTCTTTTTTTTTTTTTTTTTACAGAGGATCAGTTTAGTATGCATTAAGTAAAGATTTCAACAGTTTGCACCCCCATAGAAACACAAAGTGAAATATATTGTTTGAGTACTCGTTATAGCATTAAATCTCAATGCACAGCACATTAAGGACAGAGATCCTACATGAGGAGTAAGTGCACAGTGACTCCTGTTGTTGACTTTACCAATTGACACTCCTGTCTATGGCATCAGTAATCTCCCTATGCTCCAGTCATGAGTTTCCAAGGCTATGGAAGCCCTCTGAGTTCTCCGATTCTTATCTTGTTTAGACAAGGTCATAGTCAAAGTGAAAGTTCCCTCCTCCCTTCAGAGAAAGGTACCTCCCTCTTTGAAGACCTGTTCTTTCCGCTGGGATCTCACTCACAGAGATCTTTTGCCAGAGTGTCTTGTCAAAGCCTTTATTAACACAATTAGAAAAGTTCTGGATAAAGAAAGTCCACTTGGGACTATACTCTAAATGATTACAAATTCTGAAACTAGTAATGTTGGCTAAAATAAGGTTTTAGAATACAACTACACTATTTGAGTATTACTCTGAATGATAATCACAGTGAGTTAAAATTAAAGATTTCAAAATCCCTTCAAATATTATGTGCACATATATTAGTCTGTCCTACTGTAACATCCCACATGGCAACAGTTAGTAGCTAAAGAAGATCCAAGGTTTTTGAACCAGTGGGTTAACTGAAGACATTAGCATGCTATAGTAAAACCTCTACAATCTGACACTTGCTTCTTCTATATGACCATGTCTTGTGTTTTCACTTATATTTTTTTAAGATTTTTTTATTTATTATTTGAGAGGTAGAGTTACAGATAGTGAGAGGGAGATACAAAAAGAAAGGTCTTTCTTCCATTGGTTCACTCCCGAAATGGCCGCAATGGCTGGAGCTGCGCTGATCCGAAGCCAGGAGCCAGGTGCTTCCTCCTGGTCTCCCATGCTGGTGCAGGGGCCCAAAGACTTGGGCCATCTTCTACTGCTTTCCCAGGCCATAGCAGAGAGCTGGATTGGAAGAGGGGCAGCCAGGACTAGAACCGGCACCCATATGGGATGCTGGTGCCGCAGGTGGAGGATTAACCTACTGCGCCACAGCGCAAGCCCCCCTCACTTATACTCTATTATAGGTAGCTTCACAAAACTGTCATTAGAGGTTAAAAATATAGAATCGGTCCAGCTTCCCAGAAATGCCATGAGAGGCAAGAGGTGATGGCACTAGTATTTGTGTTCCTGCCACCCACAAAAGAGACCCAGACTGAATTCTCAGCTCTGGCTTCAGCCTAGCCCATTCCTGCATGTTGCAAGCACTGAGAGTAAACCAGTGGATGGGAGAGCTCTCTGTCAAATAAATAAAAACAAACATGGGCCAGTGTTCAGGTGCAGTGCAGTGGGTTAAGCCGCAGTCCTGCATCCCATTTGGTTGGCATGTTGAGTCCTGGCTGTTCTCCTTCTGATCCAGCTCCCTGCTGAGGTGCCTGGGAAAGCAGTGGAGGATTGCCCCACTCCTTGATTCCTGCACACACATGAGAGACCTGGATGGAGTTTTAAGCTCCTTGCTTTGGCCTGGCCCAGCCTCGGGCTATTGTAGCCACTTGGGGAGTGAACCAGCAGATGTAAGATCCCTGTTTTTCCCTGTCTCTGTAATTCTGCCTTTCAAATAAATAAATCTTCTAAATAAATAAACAGAAAGTTTAAAAAACAAACACAGGATTGGGCATGCTGTTTGGCTTAGCAATGCAAATATTGGTTAAGACACCTCAGTCCCATTAGAGTGACTGAGTTGGATTCCTGATTCTGGCTACTGATTCTAGCTTCCTGCCAGTGCAGATCCTGGGAGGCAGCTGTGAAGGCTCAAGTAGTTGGGTTCCTGCCCACCCATGTGGGAGATCTAGACTGAATTCTCAGCTCCCTTGGTCCCCTGGCCATTATGGCCATTTGCAGAGTGGACCAGTAGACAGGGAAGCTCTCTTTCTGTTTAATTCTCTCCCAAATAAATATATAATTAAAAACAAACAAAAACCCAGATATTTTGTAAAGTCTGTTCATTGAGTGTCAAGGGTATACAACACAGATAACTGAAGATACCAACCGGTGTAGAAGTGTCTGCTGTAGGAACAGGTAATGGCAGATTTGAAAGGATGCCAAATGAAGGTGCGGCAGGTTTGGCTGTTGTATAACTTGTTGTTGAAGAAGAAACGGTGTCAGCAACAGATAAAGAAGAAATATTCCTGTTGGCTTCTTGTGGAGGATATGAAGGAAGAAATGGAAAACCCTGAGAAGAATAAGGAGGCATTCCGCTTGGGTTACTGTACAGGCTATGGGAAAAAAAAAAAAAAAAAAAAAGAATTGTTACATTTTAGGAGTAAATATGTAAAATTATTCTTGAATTGTTCTGAATAACATTAATTTTTTTAAAAGATTTATTTATTTGAAAGGCAAAGTGACAGAGAGGAAGACAAAGAGAGATCATCCATCCCAAAGGGCCACTTCCCAAAGGGCTACAGCTGGGGTAGGGCCAGAATGAAGCTAGGAGCCAGGTACTCTAACCATGTCTCCCATGGGTAGCAGGGGCCCAGGCACTTGGGCCATCTTCTGGTAGCTGATATGGGATATCAGTGTCACAAGTGGCAGCCTAACCCATTGTGGCACACTACATGCCCAACAACAGTCATGCTTTATAAATGGAATCTGCTTAAGGCAGGTGATACGGGATATTATAATTAAAAAGGAAATTAAATATTATATAAAGTGATAAAAATACAAAAGCTTCTTAACAGGTGGTTCCCAAGAAAAAGATAAATTCTTCAGAAAGCACACAATTCAACTCTTCAGAGTAATAGAGAATACATAGTCCATTTTTGGCACCAATTAGCATCTCATTAGCATCAATCTGTTTCTTTATAGGGGGAATGGAGAACAACATTCAATCCAGAAGCTTCATTCACGTGATAGCTGCTTAGTAGCTTTCACTACATTTGCAAAATCTAACTGATTGCTTTTCTAGACAATTTTAAAAAGAAAACCACATATACAAATGACCTGCTAAAAATGTTAAAACAGATTTACATAAACATGCTTTTACATTAGAATAGCACAGCCCTGGGACTAAATCAGAAAATAATGTAGCAGACATTTATTTTTGCAAGATAAAATATTTTATATTTACCCTTTTCTTCCCCTTTATAAAAGTTCTGACAGGCTCAGATTATAAACACATTAGAATATTTAAATCTTAAAAGCAGAGAGGGGCCAGTGCTGTGGCGCAGCGGGTTAAAGCCCTGGCCTGAAGTGCTGGCATCCCATATGGGCGCTGGTTCTAGTACCAGCTGCTCCACTTCTGATACAGCTCTCTGCTATGGCCTGGGATAGCCAAAGAAGATGGCCCAAGTCTTTGGGCCCCTGCACCCATGTGGGGGACCCGGAAGAAACTCCTGGCTCCTGGCTGCGGATCGGCGCAGCTCCGGCCGTTGTGGCCTTCTTTTGAGTGAACCAGTGGATGGAAGACTTCCCTCTGTCTCTACCTCTCTCTGTAATTCTGCCTTTCAAATAACTAAAATATTTTTTTTTCAACAGGCAGAGTTAGACAGTGAGAGAGAGACAGAGAGAAAGGTCTTCCTTCCATTGGTTCACCCCCAAAATGGCTGCTACGGCCGGCACACTGCGCCAATCTGAAGCCAGGAGCCAGGTGCTTCCTCCTGGTCTCCTATTCGGGTGCAGGGCTCAAGCATTTGGGCCATCCTCCACTACCTTCCCAGGCCACAGCAGAGAGCTGGACCGGAAGAGGAGCAACCGGGGACAGAACCCAGCGCCCCAACCGGGACTAGAACCCAGGGTTCCGACGCTGCAGGCAGAGGATTAGCCAAGTGAGTCACAGCGCCGGCCCTAAAATGAATCTTTAAAAAAGAAGCAGAGAGAGAATGAATCATCCAAATATCAATATTTTAATTAATACAGTAAGTTATTATGGGTCATTCACTGTCATGCAAAGGATAAAGAACTTTTGGTTATGATTTAAATATAAGATGAAATATTAAAATGTTTTACTTTGTATTGACACATTTTCCAAAGCATTATTTTATGGAAGTATTCATTATTTTATTTAATGATAAGTTAATCTGAGTAGAATATTTTGTTGTAAAGTAACATTTGTAATAGATGTTGAAATATATATTAATAACACTCAAATTTATACAGAAAAATTAACCAGCAGAAATAGGGGGAAATATGAAAAAGCAGGGTAAAGAATATTGGCACTTCCATATAGCAAAATAAATTATAAAGCTTTAGGTAGATGGGTAGGTAGGTTAATAAAACTAAATATATAATCCAGAAAAAACAAAACCACAGATAGGAATTAAGCTAAAATAGATTCTCCTGTGAAAAATAAGATGTCAGTGAACAGTGTTGAGACATCAAGAAAAAATTATATTAGGCCAGATACTCATTTACAATATATAGTATTAAAACTAGTATAAGTATAAAAACTTAACACTTCAAAAATTTAAATGTCCAGAAATATTTTAAAAGCAGTGGAAGAAATCATTTGGAAACTGCAACCTTAAACTGGGAAAGAACTTTTTATGATCCAAATGCAGAAGTCATTAGAAAAAATGATAACAAGTCCCACTATAACATTAAAAAAAATTCTACATGATATGGCCCTTTATAAGACAAATTTAATAAAACACATGAAACTCATATCACAGAGGAATAATTTCTCTAAAATAAAAATAATTGCTACAAATTGATAAAAAGACTAACCCAATAAATAAGAGGAGTATAGGACAGTATTCACAGGTTACAGAAAAGGATACAAGTATCTCTAAAGCAAGAAAAAGATGACAACTCCACTGGTAGTAATTATCAATACAACTAAAATAATACTAACATACCATTTCGTATACAAACTGGTAAAGAATTCATTTTGATAATATCTTGGCCAAGATATGGGGGAAAAGGTACAGTATAAAGAAGCAGAAACTGGTACAACTATTCTGAAGGGCAATTTTGCGGTACTTGTCAAAATGGCAAACATGTCTACCATTTACAATTTATCTGACAAATATGTATACATTGTATAAAATATTTACAATAGCACTGATGACAATGAAGAAGCAAAGTCCAGCAATAGGAGTGCTGCTAAATAAATTATAATATATCCTTAAAATGAGTAATGTGTGGTCCTAAAGAATAATGAAGAAATGTCTCATGTACTAACATGGAAAACTCTCCAAACCATACTAATTAGTGAATATGAAGCAAGAGGACAATATGATACTGTCTATATTAAGAATAGGGGAGTAAAATACTACATAAATATTTCCTTATATATGTATAAAATATCTCATTACACACACACACACACACACACATACACCCTTTCATGCCAGTGAGAAGAAAAACAAAAAAACTAAGTGGCAGGGACATTTAACTCCATATTCCTTTTTACTTTTTGGATTTTTAGTCAAATTAATAAATGCCCCACACAAAAAATTAAATTAAAAAAAAACTGTTTTTAGAAAAAGATTTACTTGAGAGGTAGAGTTAGAGAGAGAAGGAGAGACATAGAGAAAGGTCTTCCATCCACTGGTTCACTCCCCAAATGGCTGCAACAATCAGAACCGGGCCAATCTGAAGCCAGGAGCTTCTTCCAGATCTCCCATGCAGGTGCAGGGGCCCAAGCACTTGGGCTATGATATGCAATCAACCCAATGATCGTCAACTGAAGACTGGATAAATAAATTATGGGATATGTACACCATGGAGTACTACACAACAGTAAAAAAAAAAAAATCTTGTCATTTGCAACAAAACGGATGAAACTAGAAAACTTCATACTTACTGAAATAAGCAAGTCCCAAAAAGGACAAATACCATATGTTCTCCCTGATCTGTGGAAACTAATAGAGCACCTAAAAAGTAATCTATAGAAGTGCAATTGATACTTTGAGATGCAATGACTGTGAAGAACCCACATTTTGATTGTTGAGGAACAGTTTTTTTTTTCATACTATTTGTTGAACTCTTACTATAGAGTTAATCTTATTAGTATAAAGTTAATTGAAAATAGATCTTAGTAAAAAATAAGAATGGGAATAGGAGAGGGAGTATGAAGAAGGCCAAGAGTACAGGTCGGGGTACAGGTTGGAAGGCAGGTTCAGTGGGAAGACTCACTATGTTCCTAAAGCTGTATTTATATCCCTTAAATAAAAGGTTTCTGTGGCGGGGGAGGGGGGGGGGGACAATACAGCTTTCCTTTGACTGCCTGGCTCTCCTTCCGGGGACACTTGCCCTCAGAATACAACTCAACATGCTATGAGGAGCCCAGGCTATACAAAGGGCCAAGTATGGATGTATTAGCTGGTATCTTCCACCAAGATCTCAGAATTTAGTTAAGAGTATCTGTCAGACATGAGAATTAAGTAAGTCTTCAGATTATTCAACTCCCATACTTCAAGCCATGTCAGCTAATACAAAAAATGAAGCAAGGGGCCGGCACTGTGGTGCAGTGGGTTAATGCCCTGGCCTGCAGTGCTGGCATCCCATATGGGCGCCAGTTCAAGATCCCGCTGCGCCACTTCCGATCCAGCTCCCTGCTATGGCCTGGGAAAGCAGTAGAAGATGGCCCAAGTCCTGGGCCCCAGCACCCATGTGGGAGACCCGGAAGAAGCTACTGGCTCCTGCCTTCAGATTGGCACAGCTCCAGCTGTTGCAGCCAGTTGGGGAGTGTACCATCTGATGGAAGACCTCTCTCTCTCTCTCTCTCTCTGCCTCTCCTTCTCTTTCTGTGTAACTCTTTCAAATAAATAAATAAATCTTTAAAAAAAAAAGATGAAGCAAAACAAGCAACCACCACTGGTCCCAAAGCAAACTATAGGTTCAGAAAGAAAATATACATTATTACAGGGAAAACTGCTATGCATCTTCAGTAACTAGAACATATAGTTCTACTTAGTACATTACTGAAAGGTAGCCAGAAACTAGCAAATGGCCAAGAAAAAAACAAAATAAAAAAAATAGAGAATTTAATAAAAGAAAGTATTAAAGGGATTTCCTAAGATAACAACCAAGGAAGCTACCCAGATGCAAGCTATGCAGCAGAGTATCTCATAGTGGAAGAAGAAACTGGAACATTGTCTACACAGAACAGAAAAAGAACCTAGAGATTACTTGATTGGTATTGTGGGAAAATATGGCTTAAAAGATCTCTCAGAACTGTTAAAAAGTTCTGTGCAAATTTAAGAAAACCTGGAAATTTAAGAACATGTGGAAAATTAAGATCTAAGAACACAAAACCAATGGGGAATTGAGGTTAACTATTAATTCCAGAAAAAGGTAACAGATCATATGAGAAGGGAAACATACCATAATACAGTTAATTCAGAAATGGACTATATTTAGATAGTCAAAAAAAACAAAAGCATAAAACATGGACTTATATGAAAGTCACAATATACTTTTACCGTTAAGAGGAGGAGAAAAGTGAAATGTTGTGAAAGATATTTAAATCCTTATCTATTGTAATAGAAGGTCAATAGACAATATCTAAAATCAAAGAATCAAAGAGATAGCAGTATAAGCACATTATACAGAAAGGTAAAGTTATACTAGAAAAGACAGTTGAAGGAGGACACCACCACTGCTGCTGAAAAGTGTGCATCTATTTTTCTGAAAGTGGGGATGTGGAAAACAGAGGATTGTCTTCTAATGTGACTTGTTTTTAAACCATATTTTCATTATTCTGATAATTGAAAATATATGCAAAATTTTGTTATAAAGATACTCACTATGGAAATGCTGTTGAAGTAGGAGCTAAAACTGGAGGATTCTTCCAAAACTCATCTAACAAACTCTGAATAATTTTTCCAAGATCTGAGTGCATTGTAAACTAAAAACAAAAATAAAACATGATTAAAATTACTTTCAAGAAAGATTATAAAGTCTCATTAGGATAATTTTAGATTATCCTAACGTATCCTACTTTTACAAGTCAAAGAATCAAGTGAAAAAAAAAAAAGAAGGGCATTGTGTCAACTAAAAATATTAGTAACAGACAACATAAAACGTTTTATAAAATCAGTTACAAAATCAATACTGTAAACACTTGGTAATCAGCAAAGCAGGTTAAAAGTCTATTTATACAGAGATAAACTCATATTTCACTACTTACAATAATTTGAAGGTTCACAGATAAATACTGAGGGTACACCAAAGTTACAGTCCTTCATATTAATCAATTATATCATATTGTAAGCCAGAATCTTACGTAAACACAGTGTTATCTGTTATACAGAATAAAACTTTTTTGAAAGTTAGTAATTCCAAATCTAATTTTAAATGCACTTCAGATTTCTAAACTATTCCAAAGAAAATTAATATACTTGTTTTATCACTCTGAAATTAAGTGTACCATATACATACATTGTTTACTAAAGGAGAGGTAACATATATTCCTTGTTTATCCATTAAGTGATGTCGTATTGGTGGGTAAACGCTGATCACTGGCTTTTCTTGAGGAAATTGTGGAGGAAGTAATCTGGTAAAGACAGAACAGATGAACAGTATATCATCATGATCTTAAAGTTAAAAGCACAATTTTACACTTTGATATGGATTAATTATTTAGTGATAAGTTCTCTATTATGGTTGTCGATTGCAAAGTATAAGGTCTGGCAAGATTTTATAGATAGCAGTCCAACACAGGAAAACATTCTCAATGTGAACTGCAGATCTGAACAACAGAATATTCTTTATAACATGTTCATTAATTGTTTCCAAACACAATATACCAAGCAATTCACAATCTCTATCAGGCATTTGTATCCAGTGAGTGATACTAACCCTGCTGGCTATTGATATACAGGTTCTGGCCATATAATTTTCTCTTAGTTTATCTACTTTTGAAATGCTGTCAGAAATCATTGCTTTATCCATTGTATTTCCAAACAGTAAGAGATGTAATACAAAGTACTAGGATTGAAATGATGTGACTCATCATGCCTTGGTTCTATATGGCTCCCTTCTAAATGTCCCACTTAACACTTCTCTCAACTTTGAGGTTAATCACATGGTTTCAAGTAAAAAAACACTAAGTTCTCAATACCAAAAATAAAAAAGTGAAAAATTTAACAGCTATGAAATGACTATAATATTTAGTGAGTGAAGTTTTAAAAAGTTGAAATTAACTAGATCTGGAAACTTTTCCAAATCTATAAAACTCAGAAGAATATTTTCCTTTAAATTCTCTGTTCCCTCATTGTCTCAGAAAACTACCTTGTTGGCCTTGCCTGCATAGCTCTTTCTGTGCATTGGGTATTTATTTATGGGGCAGGCATTTGGCACAACAGCTAAGGCACCACTTGAAATGCAAGTATCCCATATCAGAGTGCTCTGGTCCGAGTTATGGCTCTACTCCCAATTTCAGCTTCCTGCTGATGTGCATTCTGGAAGGGAGCAGTTGATGGCTCAAGTACTTGGGTCCCTGCCACTCATGTGGGAGACCCAGATTGACTTCCTGGCTTCTGGCTTTAGCCTGGTCCAGCCCTGGCTATTGTGGGTATTTAGATAGTGAACCTAAGATGAAATATCTCTGTCCCTGTCTGCTTTTCAAATATATAAATTTTTTTTTAATTTTAAATTATTTATTATATAGTTGAAAATTTTAAACTAGTTTCAGAGTAAATGGCCTTTGGAGCCCAACCAATCTGGGTTTGTATCCTGACTCCACTGTAAACTTACCATGTCTGGCATTTGCCCTAAACTATAGTACTAAACAGTAAAACTATAGTTCCAAGGATTACTATAGTATTTAAAAAAATTATTTCAGAGGCAGAGAGAGAAAAATGGGGGGGGGGGGGGCGGAGGAACAAGGATTGGATAAGAGAGAAAGCGTCTATCCCCACATGCCCCCAACAGCTACACCTGGGCTGGAGCTGAAGCCAGGAGCTAGGAACTCAATCTGGGTTTTCCATGTGGGTGGCAGGATTCCAACCAGCTGAGCTATAATCACTGCTGCCCAGGGTATTAGCAGAAAACTGGAGTTAGGAGCTGGAGCCAGGTGTCGAATCCAGGTACTCTGATATGGGATGCACACCTCATATATGATGCATACTCCTATTATTTTTTTTTATTACATTTCCTCTGTTCTTCTAAAGCAATATAAATTACTGTAATATCTCACCAAATTTTTATTTTATTAAATTACACACTATTTTATAAATTATAGTCATTTGAAGTTCACAGCTCATTTCTAATAGTAACGAAATAAAAATACAAAGTTTTGAATACTAATACATGAAAAAGCAGGATATAATTCTACTCACATATTAATGTTAATTGTCAGGTTATTTACAGTGAATGGCAATCTGTATTCCACATCTTTCTGTATTTCAGCTATACTGTAAGAGAAAATTTGAAAAAATTTACTCACAGTTGTGAAATCATTAATGTTAAAAAAAAAAACACATGTAAAATGCTAGAACACACTAAAGTTACTATTAATTTTAATCACAGAATCTGGATAGCCATTTTAACTTGTATCTTCTGAGGATAGTTAATGATAGTTACACAGACTTTTCAAGTAAGCAGGCAATAATACTCTGAAATATCCAGGGGAATTCTGTGGCGGGGTGCAGGGGATGGGGGTGGATTGGGAGGATGCTGAGATAAAGAGGCAAGGAAGAACTCTTGTATTAATTACACGAGCTTAATTTACTATCAATTTATCAAACTTATTATTAGTAGAAACAATTGTAAACCCTGTGGGTTAATATAGGTCAGCAAGGCATATGGGTTCTGAATCTAACACTACCACTGTGCAGCTATACAGACAGCTGGGGAAGTCTAGGGGCAAAAGTCTATGAATATCTCCCAGTCTCATGGTAGAAGCTTCTAGTTACTTTCAAAAACAAATAATCTTCTTCTTCCTAAGAGAAACTTGATTTTATTCTATGTTGTAATGTTCTTTCTTATAGCAAGTTGTTGCTGTAGACTGCAGTTCCAGCCAATAAAATATATACGGGAAGTTGTGGGAAAGAATTCCAGGAATGCATCTTAAAGTAGAACAAAAGAGGGGCAGGCATTTTCTAGCTTAGTGGATAAAACCACTTCCTGTAACACCTATATCCCAGGTGTCCTGGCTGTTCTGCTTCTGTTCCAGATCTCTGCTAGTAGTTGGGAAAAGCAGTAGAAGATAGCCCAAGTGCCCGGTCCCCTGTTACCCACACAGGAGATCTGGTAGAAGCTCCTGGCTTCGGCCTGACCCAGCCCTGGCCAATGAAGCCATCTAGCAAGTGAAACAGCGGATAGATGATCTGTCTCTCCCTCTCTCTGTGTAACTTTGATATTCAAATAAAAAAATATTAAAAACAAAATAAAGTAGGACACATGAACAGGCAATTGATGGAAGCTCAGTTTGCCCTTCCTGCTTTCCTTCTAATTCTTTCTTGGATTTGATAGCTGGACTTTTAATAGTTATTTTGGATTATGAGTGACCCTGAGAATCATAGTGATGCACTAGGGGTAGCTAAACAGAAAGAAGTAGCTTGGTCCTTAGTGATGCTCAAATTCTGAATTTCTTTTATGTGAGATTAAAAAAGAAATTCATCTTGTTTAAGCCATCATTTTGAGAATCTTGGTTAATGACAATTTCTGAGAAATATAAGTGCCTTATACTTTAACATCCTATACCTAAGAGTTTTATTTTGTTCCATTAATTATAAGTCTATGTTATTGAAACTATAATCTACCAAACAAGGCTTTGGAGGCTCACTTGGAATTCTACTTAATATTCATATTTCCAATGGGGAAAAATCTAAGTAGCATTAATGAGTTAAGATTGTAGAGGAAGCCTAATTTTCAAATGGACATGAAACTTGAAAGGTCTAGTACACACAATGATGTACTTCTTGTTCTTTTGGTTGCTCTAATAGTTTTAATAAAACCTTTCATTTGGGAGATTCCAAGATGGCAGAATAGGGATGAGTGTACTCTCAAGGCTAGGGGTAAATAATTAAAAAGAGAGAGAAAGTGGAGAAAGTACATTCTTGGGGAGAGTTAGAAAATGGCAGTGGGAATTCTACAGAAGGAAGAGGAATGCCATGGATCTGTGTGGAAGGTGCTCACACACAGCAAGAACATGGACACAACACAGAACCCCAGCAAGGAAGAGCAGGAGAAAGCACCAGCTTTGGAGAAAGAGCTAAGATCAGACTGCAGCAGCCCGTGTCACTGGTGATGTAACTGGAGGGAGATTGTGATATGAGTCCAGCCTATAACCCTAAGGGTGATTAGAGGATCCAGGGCTCAAACCATCTAGGCAAAGCACCCACAGGCAACTGGCTCTGGGAATGTTTCTGCCTCTCTGTGGAAGAAACAGGTTAGAGGGGCAGATAGGATCCTCTATACCCCACAACTGTGGGAGCCTTGTGTGTTGAGAATGTGGGAACTCTGAATGCACGAGAGGGTGCAGGGTGTAGCTGGGTCTCTGGGCAATCAATGCACAGGGCTCCACATGCTCAGAGCTTCCTGATAGCCTGGGCAGGGGAGGACGTGGGGGGTTAAGGGAGATGGGGAGGAAGGGTAGGGGTGTCACTGCAACAGGATCTGTGAGGACTGCACAAAGTCTGTGCAGTTCATACAGCAGCATGGATGAGTATTACAACCAGTGTACACTGACACCCAGGCATTTATCACCTTGGAAGAGATGAAGTGAGGGTGTGATTACACCAACAGAAATTATATTTCCTTTCTGCTAAGAAGAGATCTACCACACCCAACTTGGGTGTCACCCTGGATACTCACCCTGCAGCACCAAGGAAAGCTCCATGGCCATACCCAGCACACACCTCTGGGTATTCAGTGTAAGAGCTGACACCCTACTAAGCCACAGATGCATAGTTCAAAGACAAAAGCCATTATAGGAAAAAAAAAAAAAACCTACAAGTATTTCCACAAATACCTAAAAATAAACACAGAAATTCAAGAAACAAGAACAAGACAACATAACCCTCTTCCCAAAGGATCACAACACGTCGATGTTAGAATGTAAAATGAAGAAATTGATGAAATGCCTAAAATGGAATTCAATAGATTAATCATAAGATTACATAGAAGCAGTAAGAAGCAAATTCACAAATTAAAGAAATTTCCCCATGAAATTGAGATTTTGAAAAGCAATCAAAATGATACTCTAGAAGTAAATTCAATTTGTCAAATAAAAAAAATATAGTGTAAAGCCTTAACAACAGATTTGGTGAGCCGGAAGAGACAATATCTGACTTAGAAGAAAAATCTTCGGGGGCTGGCACTAGGGCAAAGTAGGTTAAGCCTCGACCTGCAGCGTAGGCATTCCATATGGGCTCTGTTTCAAGTCCCAGCTATTCCACTTCCAATCCAGCTCCCTGCTCATGGCCTCAGAAAGCAGTGGAAGATAGCCCAAGTGCTAGGGTCCTTACACCTTCATGGGAAACTCAGAATAAGCTCCTGGTTCCAGCTCGTGGCTTTGGATTGGCCCAGCTCTGGCCATTGCGACCATTTCAGGAGAGCACCAGAGAATGCAAGACCTCTGTCTGGAACTCTGCCTCTTAAATAAATAAATAAATCTTTAAAAACAACAAAACAAGATAACAAATCTTCAGAATTTTTTGTCAGACCAAAAAAAGGGGGGGATTAGAAGAAATTAGGAAAAATTAAAAACACTTTGGAGATATATGGAATACAAATGATCCAACATACAGGTCTTAGGAGTTCCTGAAGGTGTGGAAACAGAACTGATCAGAATCCTATTAAGTGAAACTTTTACATAAAACTTTCCTAATCTGGAGAATGAAAGGGAAGTCCCAGTACGCAAGGCACATAGAACTCCTCATAGTCATGACCACAAAAGATCTTCACAATGACACACTGTAGTCAAATTTTCAACAGTAAAACACAGAGAAAAGATTCTAAATGTACACAAGGGAAATGCAGGATTACTTTCAGAGAATCTCCAATTAAACTTACAGCTGATTCTCATCAGAAATCCTATAGGATAGGAGAGAATGGAGGGACATAGTCCAAGTCATAAGAGAGCTCAATCCAGAATCCCTTACCCTACAAAGCTCTCATTTATGAATGAAGGTGAAATATTTTCCATAACCAACAGATACAGAAAGAATTTGTCACTAGGCCAGCCTTACAAAAGATGCTTAAGGGGGCCAAAAATGTTGCATTGTGGGTTAAACCTTCGCGTGTGGCATCAGCATCCCATATGGGTGCTGGTTCAAGTCCTGAATGCTATACTTTCCATCCAGCTCCCTGCTGGAAAGCCTGAGAAAGCAGTAGAAAATTACCCAATTGCTTGGACCCCTGCACCCAAGTGCAAGACCAGGATAAAGCTCCTGGCACTGGATTAGCCCAGCTGATGTGACAATAATACATGTCTATGCATCCAATTAAAGGATGCCTGGCTATTTAAAACAAAGGTTAATGGATCTAAAGGGAGACAGACTCCAATATAATACTAATAGGGGACTTCAACACCCCACTTTCATCAGGACATATCAACCAGACAAAATCAATAAACAACAGAGCTAATCAACAATGTGGACTAAATGGGCCTGATACCTACAGAACCTTTCATCCCACAGTTGCAGAATACACATTCTTTTCATCAGTACATGTAACTTTCTCTAGGATATACTACATGATAGGCCATAAAACAAGTCAACCAAATTTTAAAAAAAAGTTTTTTTTTTTTTAAATCATACCATGCCTCATTGCAGAACACAAAGGAATGATGTTGGAGATTAACAACTCAAGAATCTCAAGAACATTTGCAAACACATAGAAACTGAACAACATACTCCTGAACGAGCAGTAGGTTAAAGAAAAATTTTAAAAATTTCTGCACACAAATGAAGATGACAATACAATATATCACAACTTACGGTATACAGCAAAATCAGTGTCAACAGCAAAGTTTATAGGAATTTGTGCCTACATCAATAAATTGGAAGGGGGTGGTGCTATAATGTAAGCTAAGTCTCTGCCTGTAGCACAGGCATCCCATATGGGTGCCAGTTCATGTCCAGGCTGCTACTTTTCCAATCTACCTCTCTGCTATGGCCTGGGAAAGCAGTGGAAGATGGTACAAGTGCTTGGGCCCCTGCACAGATGTGGAGACCCAGAAGGAACACCGGGCTACTGGCTTCAGATCGGCCCAGCTCTAGCTGCTGTGGCCATTTGGAAAGTGAATCAGAATGGAAGACCTTTCTCTCTGTCCTCTCTCTCTGTAACTCTCTAAAGTAAATAAATATTTTTTAAAAAGAAAGAAATTGGAAAGGCACCAAATGAATGAGCTATCAGTGCATCTCAAGAACCTAGAAAAACAACAAACAAAACCAAAAATTACTAGGAA